CACAGAAATTTAGTGTGGAATACACTTGGTAACAGTCTGTCTCCCCAGTTATGACATTAAATCTGTCACAGTTATGTAATCTTGCCATTGCAAGTTGAAAAACTGCAAGTTCTATTTCATATCACCTTTCACTGTAACCAATGCCAGGAGAGAAAAGTTTATGGCCTTTGTGGGACTTACTAGTGATTCAACTACAACCTGGTTCTTTATGTAATTTTTTTTTCGATGGTGTCTAGCTGTTATTAGCAGCTATTAACAGCTCTGCGTATATCTATCTTCCTATTTCAGTAGCTGTGCTTCTGCAGAGTTCTTCAAAACTTAGTCTTGGTTTCACTTCTGTACACCATGTTACATGTTCAGTTAGGGCAATGCCACTTGTACTAAAACTTCTTAAAACTTCTTGCACAGTGGCTGCTTGTACTAAGTGCCTCACGGCAGATTCATATGACTACAGCAAAACCAGGAAGTATATTGGCACCATTTCAATTCAGAGGTCACAGCACAGAGGTATTATGTTGGAATGGAGTCGCCCTGGGAGTTCACAACATTAACTCTAATGAAGTTAAAACATAGCTAAGGAAACTCTCGTTGATTATACTCAACACCCTTGTTCAGCTGCTTAGTTGACCTAATTTAATGACTTAACCTTTTTGTATGGTATCTTATTGAATGCCTTTTGAAAGTCCAAATACAACACATTATTATTATTTACCCTTGTTGATAATCGGTAGTCCTTCACATTAAACATTAGTTGGAAGAAGCACTGAGAGTAGCATTGATATCAGATGTTTTCTGGCTGGAGTCTTGATTGTCCTTTTATGAATTGACCAGTAGCACCACCACTGACTGACAGATTAAAATCATAACAAGTAGGAACAGGAGTAGGCTTTTAAGCTCCTTCAGCCTGCTCCACCATTCAATAGGATTCTTCCTAAACCAACATTTCTCATGTCCACTTTTTGCCCTTTGCTCGTAACCCTTAATTTCTCTGCTGATGAAGAATCTATGTATCTCAGCCTTAAATATACACAAGGACTCTGCCCTTACAGCTCTCTTTGACAAGGAGTCCCAGGGACTATCAACCCTCTGAAAGAAGAAATTCCTCCTCATCTGTCTTAAATTGGTACCCCTTTATTCCAAGAATGTATCCTCTGGTCCAAGACTCTCCCATGAGGGAAAACATCCTCCCAGCATTTACCCTCTAAAGTCTCTCAAAAATCCGACATGTTTCAATGAGATTACCTCTCATTTTCTTAAATTCCAATGAGTTGAGTCCCAATCTGTTTCTCCTTTTGCTCATAAGACAGTCTCTCCATACCAAGGGTCATCCAAATGAACCTTCTCTGAACTGCCTCCAGTGAAATAATATCTTTCCTTAAATTGGACCAAAACTGCTCTTAGTACTCCAGATGTGGTCTCACCAACACTTTGTACAGTTCATACGCTCATACTCCAACCCTGTTGTAATAAGGTCCAACATTCCATTAGCCTTCTTGATTACCTGTTGCACCTTTGTGCGAGCTTTCTGTGTTTTATACACAAATACCTCCAGGTCCCTTTGTGTTGTAGCTTTCTGTAGCTTTTCTGTATTTAGATAATACTCTGTTCTTCAGTTTTCCCTTCCAAAATGAACAACTTCACATTTTCCCAAAAAATACTCCATTTGCCAACTTCTTGCCCAATTACTTAACCTAGAGATATTTCCCTGTGAACTGTTTTTATCCTTCTCTCAACTTGCATTTCCACCTATTTTTGTGTCATCTGCAAATGTGACTACAGTCCATCTGCTTCTTCCTCCAAGTCACTATGAAGTATTGTAAACAGTTGCGGTCCCAGCATTGTTCCCTGTGGAATCCCCTGCCAACAGGCTTCCAATCTAAAAAGGAACCATTTATCCTCATTCAGTATTTCCTGCCCATTACTTAATCCTCTATTCATACCAATATACTACGTCCAACACCATGGACTCCAACCTTATGACTTGACTTTTTGTATGGTAGCTTATCTAATGCCTTTTGAATGTCCAAATACAACACATTTAGCAGTTCCCCTCTATCTACCCTTGTTGAAACTTCCTTGAAAATGTCTAATAAATTACTCAGACATGATTTCCTTTTCATGAAGCTGTGCTGGCTCTACTTGATTAGATTATGATTTTTCCAAATGTGCTGCTATAATTTCCTTAATAATTGATTTCAATACTATTCCATCAATTGATGTTTGGCTAATCGGCCTACAGTTACCCACTTCTTACATCCCACCATTTTTGAATACAGTTGTTGCAATGACTTTTGGAAAATTACAACCAATGCATCCACTATCTCAGTAGCCTGTTTGTCATTATGGGCTTTCAACTGGTGAAGCGAGAACCACCAAGAGGGACAAACCTACTTGACAGTCTATATTCCAGCCATGAGACACAGTCCTTGTGGTCATGTTCCTTCTTCATACTGAGGATCTGTCCATTGGATTGTGTGACACTACCACCATGCTTTAATAAAGCAGATCCAGCAGCTTTAAATTAGCAACAATGAGGTGCTATGGGCCAGCAGCGACAGAATTATCATCCATCACAATCCATAACCTTATAGCCTGGTTTGTATCTTGTTCTACTGCTATCATCAAACCCGTGAGGTATGTCAAATTATTCCAGGAGCAGCACCAGACATACCTAAAAATGGGGTGCCAACCTCTGGACACTAAAGCACAGGAATACATGTGTGCTTAACACTGGAAACAGCATGTTCTTGGCAGGGCTGTATAATTCCACAGCTAACAGATCAGATCTAAGCTCTGAAGTCCTCGCGCAATTCAATGATGAATGATAGTAGACATCTAAGCAGCTAACAGAAGGAAGCAACTGTGCAAATATCCCCAACTCAATGATAGAATAAATTACTAAGGATAACGCTGAAGGACTTGCAACACTTTTCAGTGAGAAATGACGAGTGGATGACCCATCTCAGTGCCCACCTGAAGCCCCCAGCATCACTCTTTGAGTCCGTACCCAAGCTGTTCCAGAATTATTACCACTCCTATCTGACAAAGTGGAGAATTGCTCAGGCATAGACAGTCCCCAGAAAGTGAGACAAATACAATATGATCAATTACTGTCCAATCCGTCTACTCTCAAATCATCAGCAAAGTGATGGGGTGTATCATCGACAGTGCTATCAAATGTCATGTGCTCAGCAGTAACCTGCTGGCTGATGCACTGTTTGGCTTCTGACTTCGTTAAAACTTTGGTCCAAACTTGGGTGAAAGAGCTGAATTCCAAAGGTGAAGTGAAAGTAACTGCTCTTGGAATTAAGGTACCATTTGACTGAGTATGGCATGGAGAAAACCTTCTAGAAGTGAAATTAATGGGAATCAGTGAGAATAATTTCCACTGCCTGGAGCCACACCAAACATATAGCAAAACGGTTTGTCAAATGGTTATTGGAAGCCAATCTTTTCTGTCCCAGGACATCACTGCAGGAGTTCCTCAGGATAGTGTCCTCAGCCATACCTTTTCCACAGAATTACAGTAGTGTTATGGCACAAAAGGAGACTACTCAGCTCATTGTGTCTGCACTGGCTCATTACCTAGTGCCAGTCTCTAAGTTTTTCTCCCCCCATAGGTTAGCGCATTATCATCAGGAACCTGGAATGCCTCAGTTGAACCTGCCTTCACCACACTTCCAGGCAGTGCATTCCATACCCTAACTACTCGCTTGTGTTGAAACATTTTTCCTCACTTCATGCTTGCTTCCCTTGCAAATCACTTTCAAATCTGTGCCATCTTGTTCTGTGCAGAATAGTTACATGGTAGTTGTTAGGCTAGATTTATCTTGAATTGAAATTTCGTCATCTGGCATGGTGGGATTCAAACCCATATCCCCAGAATATTAGACTGGGCCTCTGAATTACTAGTTCTGATATTACCACTGGGCACCACCTCCCCTTGCTACATCACCTCAGGTGTTACATCGGTGACCTTCCCTTCACCATAAAATCAGAAATGGGAATGTTCACTGTTGATTGGACAGCTCCCCGATACTGAAGTTGTTCATGCCTGCATGTACCAAGACCTGGACAATATTCAGGATTGAGCTGATAAGTGACAAATAACATTCATGCAACACAAGTGTGAGGCAATGATCATCTCCAACAAGAGAGAAGCTAACCACCACATTCAATGGCATTGGAATCATTGAGTTCTCCATCATCAACATCCGAGAGATCACACTTGATAAAAAATGAACTGGAGGAGCCAGAGTGAATACTGTGATTACATGTGCAAGTTTGCAGCCTGTGGCACTAACTCACCACTTGCCTGGATGTGTGCAGCTTGAAAAACACTCCAAAATACTCAAATTGAACCAGGTTCAAGCCACCCATCCGCCACTTTAAACATTCACTTCTTCCACCACCTGCACACAGCAGCAGTATTGTATACGTCTACAAGGTGCACTGCAGTAATTCTCCAAACCTCTTTGGATTGCACCTTCCAAATCCATACCTCCAGCAGTTTGAAAAATGAAAAAAGTAAACTCAATACCAGTGTTCAAGCTCTGGGAATGATGATTCACATGTCTATGCATTGCTTCCATTTCCTACAAATTCCTTGTTGACTTAAAAGAGTGATTTTTAGCCCTGCCTACAAGATCAACTCAAAGTTGCACATCATTCTGACTTGGAGCTACATCACTGCTCCTTCACTGTAGCTGCATCAATATCCTTGAACACCCTAATAGTACTGTGGGTGTACCTACACTACGCAGACTGCAGAAATTCAAGAAGGCAGTTCGCCACCATTCTCCTAAGGGCAATACGGATGGGAATAAATGCTAATGTCACTAGTAATGTCCATATCCCATGAATGAATATAAAAGTTGCATTTAATGATCAGAAAAAATAATAATCGGCTTAAAGTTCTATAACATTTTCAATTGAGTATTTTTGTGCATTTTTAATAAAACATGAAATGGTCTTTCTGATCAGCAGCATTTCTTTTTCAGAGAAAGCCAAAGCACCCTCTCTGGGAAGTGGAAAAGTTCGAACTTTGCCTCTAGAGCCTATCGCTGTGCCTGCTTCCCCTTCTCTCCTTGGGGTGTCCTCAAACTTTTCTTCACATTCCTCATCCTCGGAGGGAAGGTGTGGGCTGCGTCAATCACATTCCTCATCCTCGGAGGGAAGGTGTGGGCTGCGTCATAGCCCTCAGCAACAGGGGAGGGAGGAACAACCAGGACATGGAGTTGACTTCCGTCAGCATCACTTTCAGCAACTTCAAAGGGAAAAAGGGCACCAGGTTTCCAAGCAGGAACGAGATAGAAGCAGGTGAGTAGCATTTCAACATGAGCTGATGTTCCACAAGCAAAGAGCACAGACTATTCTGAAGCAAATGGTACTGCATTAATTATAGTAAAATTTGTCTTATATATTGTGCTTAAATCCAAAATCAGTGTTGTCTAACAGCAAATATCTCCTTCTACATTATATAAACGTTCACTCTTTCCTTCTCCATTCTTGCTCTTCAAGACCTTCCTTCCAGTTCTTTATCTTCATGCTAGCATCAGTCTTACTTGTTCTGTAAACCTGTGAGAGATGTAGGAGGAGGGAGTCTGTACAGTACCATATTAGATTTCAGCTATTGAGGACAATATTTTACTGAGATTTTTTTCAAAGTCATTGCTATTGCTGCTGCTGCAATGAAGTTTGGACTAGTGGAAAGTCAGAATCTGGGTATGTCCTATCCCACAACTATATCTTGTTGGAGCATTTTGTCAGTATTTGAAATGTAGGCACCTTTAGGGTCAAACAGAACAGCTCAGAGCTTACTGAGAGCAAATGATACTTGTTGGACTTTGAATCAGGCCCCTCCCTCTCTCCCTATCTTTACCTCACCTTTGGTGATGTTGCATGGCCCTTGTTGGGATTTGCATGTAGTTTTTATCAGTTGGAAACATGGTTGATTTAGCGGTGGGGATAATAGATGAAAAGTAACATTGATGATTTGGTGGTGGGGGAAAAGAAATCATTCAGTCGTGTGTAATAACACATACAGATATTAAAAAAAAATAAAAAGAGCTAGACCTGTTCTGGTGTCTCTGGAGATGGAGCATGCAATGTCCACCAATACCCTCAGGCCATTTAGAGAGAGGTGGGCACTGCGGGAGCTGAAGTGCATCATCTCCCATTCTAACGTTATTTTAATTTAGCCCCCTCCCTCTCTTCCTGCCCATCCTTTATTTTAGTTGCTGCTGCACTGCCCCTGTTGGGCAATGCTTGTAATTAATAATTATTTAGTTACTTTCACTAGTTCATTTGGTGGTGGGTTTCCAAATAAAGGGCTAGCGGCTGCTCGGGTGTCCTTGGAAATGGAACACCCTTGAGGCATTTAGAAAGAGATGGGCACCATGGGATCTAGAATTCATTATCTTCCCCTCCTTAACTCCGCCTCTTTTCCTGTCCTTGCTTCACTTCTATTTCTGTTGCACTGCCCCTGGTGGGCAGTTAATTATTGTTCATTTCGTTAGTTAATAAAAGAGAACTGGGATCTCCCACCTTCTTTGTTTTTTTGTTATTGTAAGACTGCCCCTGCTGGGCAGTATGAATTATTTGTTTGATTAGATAATTAGGTGATTCGGTGGTTTTTAACATTAGACAAGGAGCTGGATTCACAAGGTGTGAATAAAAGGTCCTTGTAATAGGAAACAAAAAAGAGCTGAGTTCTTCCCCACTGTGGGAGTTGGCTTCTGAGTATGGAAAGGGTCCGGACAGGAAAGGTGGAAACTGATGTTTGGTTTAAACTGTAGACTTACAGTAAAATTCTGAGAGTATTTTTCTGCCTCACTCAACACATGGATATCAGCCTGTTGACAGATTTCAAGACGAAAATCAATGAAAACTTGCCGAATGAAAAAGTCTCATTTGCTTCACCTTTTCTCTCACTAACTTGCACATTGAAAAGTAAAGAGGGCCGAGTCTTATCAATATTGAATTGATGTACAGGTTATTTTAGAAACTCAATCACATTACTCTGCAGTAAATGGGACTTTACTCTCATTTCTGGCCAGTTATTAGCTAGGTAAAGCTAAGCATCTGATCACTTACCAATCCGTATGGCTCTGTTTGTATGTTACCACAAAAACATATTCCTCAACTTTGTAAATACAAGGAAATTGAATAGAAGGAATACATAATGATATTGGCTCCCAAAATTGGGGCGGCATGGTGGCGCAATGGTTAGCACTGCTGCCTTACAGCACCAGGGACCCAGGTTCAATCTCCAGCCTCGGGCAACTGTCTGTGTGGAGTTTGCACATTATCTCTGTGTCTCTATGGGTTTCCTCCGGGTGCTCCCACAGTCTAAAGATGTGCAGGTTAGGTGGATTGGCTATGTTAAATTGCCCATAGTGTTCAGGGATGTGAAGATTAGGTAGGTTATAGGGGGATGGGTCTGGGTGGGATGCTCTGAGGTTTGGTGTGGACTTGTTGGGCCAAAGGGCTTGTTTCCACACTGCAGGGATTCTATGAAAATACTGTTTATTTTATGATCATTTACATCCAACAGAGTGTAAATGAAGTTCTTGGGAAGAATTCAGAATCCAAAATCAGTACTACATGCACTGTTAAAAGGTGGATTCCTTTATTCATCTCCTGAACCGTCTCTGCTGGCAACGGCTGTGGTAGTCTGAAGTGGACAAAATGCACAATGTGATTTTCAGTATACAATTCTGTTTATTATTAATGTGACTCTCTGATTCATAGAATCCCTACAGTGTGGAAACAGGCCCTTTGGCCCAACAAGTCCACACGAACCCTTGGAGCATCCCACCCAGACCCATCCCCTTATAACCCAGCTAAGTGACACATCCCTGAACACTATGGGCAATTTAGCATGGCCAATCCACCTAACCTGCACATCTTTGGATAAAGAAATCATCATCTTTGGACTGTGGGAGGAAACTGGAGCACCTGGAGGAAACCCACGCAGACACGGGGAGAATATGCAAACTCCACACAGACAGTCGCCCAAGGGTGGAATTAAACCCGGGTCCCTGGCACTGTGAGGCAGCAGTGCTAGCCACTGTGCTGCCCCAATTCCTACAATCTATTTTGTAAATGAACTGGTCAAGAAAACTGTCAATCTGAAAAGAGCTTGAGGAACCATGTGGCGCAATATAATGAATGCATAAAGAGAATATGTTGTTGGATGGGGGAAGCTAGCCTCTCTTCTGACCTTTGCATCTCTGTTTTAAATAAGTGGCCCCTTATTCTGCAACTATGTATCCTGGCTTGAGAATCCCCACTAGTAGAAACATCATCTCAACATCTATCCTACTGAGCCCCCTCCAGAATCTTGTATGTTTCATTAAGATTGCCCCTCATTTTTCTAACCTGTAATAAATAAAGGCTTAGACTGTTAAACTATTCTTGATAAGTCTAGCCCTTCATCCCAGGAATCAGTCTAGTGAATCTCTGTTGAACTGCCTCCAGTGCCAGTATATCCTTTTTTAAATGTGGGGACCCTATACACAGCACTCTGGGTATGTCCTCACCAATATCCTGCACAGTTTTGTAAGGAGACTTCCCTGCTTTTGAAACTCCAAACAGCAATAAAATTCCATTTGCCTCCTTGATTACTTGCTTGCTAAGTTTTTGATTGTCATTCACATGTCTTTGTACTGCACCTTTTTTGGAGTGTCTCTCCATTTTTCATAATAGGCTACCTTTTGATTTCCCCTATCAAAGTGCACATACCTTCATACTTGCCTACATGAAACTCCAGCTGCCAAGTGTTTGCCCATTCATTCAACCCATCAACAACCCAGTTCAGATTTCTTATGTCCTTGCCCTCCTCCCAATTTTTCTATTGTCAGCAAATTTGTATACATTGCACTGTGAATCCTTCTCCAACACATTGATATAGATCATAAATAATTTAGGATCTAGGTCTGATCTTTGTGCCACTCCACCCTGAGAAAGATCAATTAATTCTGACTCTGTCTTTGTGTGTTAACCAATCCTCAATCCATGTTAATATATTACCCCAAAATATGAACCCCTATCTTATGCAATAACCTTTTATGTTAAATTTTATCAAATGCCTTTTGGAAATCCAAAAACACTACATCTACGGTTCACCAATATCAAATCTGTTTCTTATATTCTCAAAGAGCTCTAGCAAATTTGTCAATAACAAACTCTTACTATTTTCCCAACGAGAGATGTTAGGTTAACTGGGTTAAAGTTTTCTGTTTTTGGTTACCCTTGCTTCTTAAACAGGGATGTCACATTTACAATTTTCTAATCCACTGGAATCCAGTGAATTCTGTAATATTTCAGTTAATACCTGCAACTATCTCTGCAGCCACTTCCTTTAAATCCTTTGGACGCCAGCCATCTGGTCCTGGTGACCGTCTGGGTTTAGTCCCATTAACATAAAGAAGACTTTGCCTTTTGTGATAGAGACGGTTGTAAGACCTTTGCTTCCATTAGCACTTAGCATATCTATTATCTTTGGGATGCTAGTAGTGTCCCCCACTATGAGAACTAATTCAAAATATTGTTTTAAATTATCTGCCATTTTCTTGCACCCCATCATTAAGTCTCCAGTTGCATCCTCCAAGGAGCCCACTCATCTTAGTTACTCTTCATATATACCCATAGAAACTCTTTGTTCCTTGCGAATATACTTTCATAATCAACTTTGTCCTTTTTTATTAGCTTTTTAGCCATCTATTGATGGTTCCTAAAACATCCCTAATCCTCTCACCTACAGCTAGTTTCTGCTGCCTTGAATACGTAAGTTTTTGGTTGGATATTTTCCTTGACCAACTTTGCTCACCATGGGTGGTTCACCCTTCTCATTGAGTCGTTCTTTTTGACTGGAACACTTTTTTTTTGCTGAGTCCTATGATATTTGCTTAAATGAATGGCATTGTTTGTCCACTGACCTTTCTCTTAGTCTCTTTCTTTGAATCTGTTTTAAACAACTCTTTCTTCATGTCTCTGTAATTACCCTTAATTAAGTTGAGGACACTGGTTTTAGACCTGAGTTGCTCTCCCTCAAACTAAATTTGAAATTCAACCATGTTCTGATCACTACCCCCTGAAGGATCCTTAACTATGAGGTATCTTATTCACCCTGCCTCATTACATATTACCAGATCTAAAATAGCCTGTTCCCATTTAGGTCTGCAATGTAGTCTTGTAAGAAACAATCTATAATGCACTGTTGTAAATTCATCTTCCATGTTCCCTTGCCCATTTGATTTGTCCAGTCAGTTTGCTGAATAAAATCACTTATTGTAATTGTAGTGCTCTTCTTACATGCTTCCATGATTTTCCTATTTATACTGCCTGATAACTTCTTGTATTAACAAAGCTACCCCACTCCTTGTGTATCCTTCCAGAATGTCAAGTACCCTTGAATAGACTTCTTCATTCTGCAGTCACCTGTCTGTAATAGCAAACAAGTTGTGATCATTCATTTATATTTGTGTTGTCAATGCGTTTCCCTTTTTACGAATTTGTTTGTTGGAACAAGATGGTATTTGCATCTACAGTGCTAGTGGCAGGATAGCGGCTGACATGAGTGCAATTTTCATAATATTTGTCATAGAATTCCTACAGTGGGGAAACAGGCCATTCAACCCAACAAGTCCACACCGACACTCCGAAGAGCATCCCACCCAGACTCATTCCCCCTACCCTATCCCTGTAACCCTGCATTTCCCATGCTAATTCACCTAATCTACACATCCCTGAACACTATGGACAATATAGCATAGCCAGTCCGATTAGCCTGCACGTCTTTTGGACTGTGGGAGGAAACTGGAGTACCTGGCGGAAAACCACACAGACACGGAGAGAATGTGCAAACTCCACTCCATTGCTGGACGTACTGTCCTTTTTTTGGAAGGTTGCTGGATTAAGGTGTTTTAGGCTTCTCTGGCATGTAGAGGTGACTGGCTACATGATAGCCACCTTGACATGGACATACTCTGCTGGGCTCCGCTGCTCTGATAGCTAAAATAATGCTTGCAACTTTATGGAATGCATGGACATTGCTCCCAGAAATGACCAGAACAAGTTAGAATCTAATTTCTTGTGGAACTGGAAGAAACCTGACAGCTTCCCCTGCCTCCACCAAAATAGATGGTAATAACTGCTAACTTTGCTTCAGTATCACATTGCAAGTGCCTATCTGTGGATAGCAATTTGCAGGGGAATTTTGGCTTCTTTTTCCCACTCCAATTGAAGGAGATGCTAAGGGCAATAGTGGTCCTGAGCTGTTATTATTTTGGCTGAAACAAGCTGAGTCAGCTATAGATCCTGGTATGGCACCCGAGTTAGTGCATTCACCCACTCCAGTTTTTGATAAAGTTCATAAGTCAATTTTATACAGAGAGATTTTTAGGGAATTAATCTGCAAAGAAAAAGTGAAGTTAGCATACAAGTTTCCATCTTGCTGGTATATGGCCAGATCCTAATCGGGTATGGCCTCCATTGTATTGTGACTTTCAAAGTGATTTGAAATAAGAATGAACACTCACTTCCCTCAGACTGCAGCAGTAATGGAACACTTACACATGGTTCTGGCAAGAAAATTGTCCTGTTCTTTCAAAATTTTCGTTTTACAAAACTAGAATGGTTTAGAGTTCTAGACTGAATTTCAAATTGCTTAGTTTCTCTCATTTTACAACACAGGAAAAAGGTAACAAATTCTGAACTCACTTGAAAATCATTTATGTGAATAACTTGAAAAATAGCTTCAACTGAAATGCTTCAAAATTGCACCATTATTGGGGAAATGAAAGTGTGATAATCAAAAGAGAAAGATTTAAATATACTGTTCGTGATCATAAAAATCTGTTGAACATTATGCTTTTGAGAATAGTCTTCATGTAAGCAATGCCAATAAAACTGTTATTAATGGTATTTCCTTCTTAAAACACACATTTTTCTTATAGAACAATCTCAGAAGATGAAAACCAGGATCGACCACAACAATTAAGAGCTCCTCCTCCTCTCATCTCTCCACACCGCTCTTTGAGAGACACCTCCCCTCTTCCAAGACCCTTTCTGTCTCCTCATGCACTTCAACCAGCTCAAGCACTTAACTACAGCACTAACTACTCTAGAATCAACAATGATGCACTGAAGGACTCAGAGAAACCTCTGAACAATAATTTGAAAAATGATGCTTTCAAAAAGATCACTGGAGAGCACTTTAGCCCAGAATTTACTAAATCTTGCACTGATAAAGATGTGAGTGTAACTAAAAAATCTGGAATGCCAAGTCTAAAACCTGGCACAGTGCCACATTTGAAGGACCAGACTTCTAGTCATCAATCCACGAATGATTTCAGCAGTGACTTCAAACACCAAATTGCAAATAGCCACCTTGAAGAGATACAGAAAGAGTGCTTGGATTTATCTATCACCTCTGGAGCAACTGATCTGAGTTTGAAAAACAGAAAGAGTTCTCCAGTGTCCAATATGTCTGTGCTTTGTAGCAATTATGTGACTGCCAGCTGCACGTACAATCAAGAGCTTCTGCTCCAGCAACCTATTGTCAGCAAGTTAGATCTGGCAGAAAAGAAATTGAAGGAAGCCAGATTGAATGGTACGGCATTTCTATGATTGTAAACTTGTCCCATATTTAAGCACAGCCTCCACCCATCCCATTAATTCAACTTGCTCTTCAGTCTTAATTCTACAGGTTTGCCATTGTAAAGGGCCATTCGTGTTTTACATCTCTTCTAATTTGGACAGATTGGATTGAAGGTTTGGATATCTTGAATGTCATTAATCTCTGTGTGACTTTCCGCAGTTTTAGGACAATACGTTTGAAGGACAGGAAGACAATCCAAAATTACAAAAAAAAAACAGAACTGTCGTGTTGCATTCTTCAGTTTAGTGCAAATGTACCAATCATAAGCATAAGAGGCTGAGGGGTGACCTTCTAGAGGTTTAAAAAATCTTGAGGGGCATGGATAGGGTGAATTGCCAAGGTCCTTGCCCCAGGGTAAGGGAGTCCAAAACTAGATGGCATATGCTTAAGCGAGAGGGGAAAGATTTAAAAGGAGCTTGAGGGTCAACTTTTTCCACACGGTGGGTGGTGCATATATGAAATGAGCTGCTAGAGGAAGTGGTAAAGGTGGATACAGTTACAACATTTAAAAGACATTTGGACAGGTACATGGATAGGAAAAGTTTAGAGGTATATCGGCCAAGTGCGGGTAAATGAGACTAGTTTAGTTTAGGAAACCTGGTCAGTATGGATGAGTTGGGCCAAAGGGCCTGATTCTGTACTGTATGACTCTATAAATAAGGACTGGCAGAACAATAATGTGTGTTTCTTGTTTATAAACAAGATTATACACATACAATGGGTTACAGGAGACATTGTGAGAGATGTCTGATCTACAGGACTGCTTCTCTCTACAGAGTAAATGGGATTATATATTACATCGTGGCTCATGGTAGATAGTAGTGGATAGATCACAGCTTTCCCCCTTTTTTGAAATAAAAGTTTTATCCATAAAGAGTACTTTATGAAGCATATAGCAGTTTACAGTAAATTTAGTTATATATTCTCTTAATTCTGGTTGTCAGTAGGATGCTGTGTTTGGGTTGTATCTTATACCATGTTTTCCTAGCAATAGGGTTAATAGTTGATTCTGGTTTTAGTAGTTATCCAATTTTACATCTGTTTCGTCATAATGTCAGGTCATTTAATAGAACCCATGGACGGAATCTCTGAACCATTTACCTGGTAGATTTGGCTATCGTTGGTTAAGGTTTTTCTGACCAACACTGCACAGATCACCCTGAAACTATTTCCAGAGTTATCATTGTGTCTGTTCCTGCATAAAACTTTGCAGCAAGGGTCTTAGATAACAAGGTGTAGAGCTGGATGAACACAGCAGGCCAAACAGCATCAGAGGAGCAGGAAGGCTAACGTTTCGGGCCTAGACCCTTCAGGGTCTTAGACTACTCATTCTGTCCTGATTTTCAGAGAACTTCATGAGGCCCAGTGTCTACTGATTGAAGTGCAACGACAAATGTACTATGTGTGTAGGATTCCTACAACGGTGCCAAATCACTACACACTTCGACACTGAATACTTAACAGTTGTTTCATTTCCACACGAGGACTTCTATTTTGTGAGAAAAGCCCGAGACTTGTTTATTGTTCAGCTGAATCTTTAAAAATTGTTGGCTATTCTTCTCCCAACCATCCAATAAGGATTGTTAAAACAATAATGTCGGTTCTTTATTTGAACAAAAGATTATATACGTACATTGGCAACTGAATGGCTATGTAGACATGTCTGGTCTGTAGGACAGCTACACTATAGAGTACATCTATAGAGTACATATGAACATCCAAACATATGAATTCGGAGCAATAGTCGGCCATTTGGCCCTTCTGCATTCATTAAGGTCATGACTGATTTGTTAGAATTTTGAATTCTGTATTCTCTCCTATCTTGGCCTATGGAATATTCAAGGACCCCATCACTGCCAGCTTCTGAGCCACAGTTCTGAAGTCAGAAATCCTCTGAGAGAAATATAATCTCATCATTTCTGTCTTGAAGGGTCACCCCTAACTTCTTCAACAGTGCCCCCTATTTCTGGATTCAGCTGCAAGGGGAAACGTTCTTTCCAAGTCTACCATGTCAAGACTGTTCAGGATAAGTCCAGTCTGTCCAAACTTTCCTCAGAAGACAACCTGCTCATTCCAGATAGTCCACTCATAAATCTTCTTTGAACGCCCTCCAGTGCATTTAAATCCTTCCTAAAATAAGGAGACTGAAATTGTACATTGTACTTGAGGTGTGGTCTTTTAATAACTGAACCATAACTTCCCTACTTTTATGTTCCATTCCTCTTGCAATAAAGGATATGGTTCCATTAGCTTTCTTAATTAATTGCTGAACCTGTTACAGTAATTTGCTGTGACCCATGCCTGAGAATACCTAGATCCCTCTGCACCTCACATTTCTGCAGTCGTTCTCTGTATGAGTAATACTCTGCTTTTTTTATCGTTCTTGCCAAATTACTTCACGTTTTGCCATCATATACTTCCACCTGCTGGGTTTTAGACCGTCTATATCAGCCTATAACTTTGTGATGTTGGGATTATACATTGTATCTTGTCTCATGGTGGATAGTGAGGGATAGCCTGTGCCTCCTTAAAGATACATCACAACATCCTCTCCACTTAACTTCAAACAAAAGGAATGAAAAGTAAAATATTGTTTTCAAGCAGCACCTTTCATGCTGTCAGAATGTCCTGAAGTGTAAGACTGAAGTGTAATTAATTACTTTCAGATTAGTCATAGAATTCATATTCTATGAGGTCCACCTGCTGACCTTGTTACAATCACTACACTCTTGACTGTTACATTTTTCTGTATAATAATTTGCACGGCTTGTCCCAAAAGCAGCAACAAGATAAATGGACAGTTTGCTCGTCATGGCATTTGACTGAAATTGCGCTTGCTGTTCTTCAGTAATGCAATGAGATTTTTAAATCCACATAAATGAGCAGTCACAGCCTAACTTTTTACATTCCACCTGAAAAATAGACCTCAACACTCACTCAGCACTGCACTGAAGTGTTGGCCCTACTTAGAATCAAATAATCCCTACAGTATGGAAAGAGGCCATTTGGCCCACTGAGTCTGCACTGACCCACCAAAAAGCATTTCATCCAGACCCAGCACCTCACCCCATCCCTGTAACCCCACATTTCCCATGGCTAACCTACCTAGCCTGCACGTCCCCGGACACTATGGACAATTTAGTAAGGCTGAGTCACCTAACCTTCACACATCTTTGGACTTGTTCAAATCCTGGAATGGTCCTTGAATCAGATCACTTATAGTGCTTACCCTGCTGCATGAGAAAATTGTTTGCCACACTCAGATTGTGATGTAAAAACGTTCCCAATCTGAGTACCATACCTCCACCCTGATATCAGGTCATGAGGGAATTGGATGGAATGACTAGCTCAGTGCGAAACCACACAGAGCTGTGACTGGGAAAGACTCCTGCTATTTCTGGGGGCCCCTCATATTTTCCCACCTCCACAAATTCTGGGTCCATTTTCTTTAAAGTCAATAGATGAAACAAAATTAAGCAAGCTGCATTCAGTGATCCATCTGATTCATGTCAATGAACCATTAAAGATGTGTCAGGATGATGTAACAGCTACAGTTAAATAACCGAAAAGACTTTAGTGCTCAAAAACAGAAGTTGCTGGAAAAGCTCAGAACTGAGGAAGGGTTACCCGACCCGAAACATTAACTCTGATTTTTCTTCACAGATGCTGCCAGACCTGCTGAGCTTTTCCAGCAACTTCTGTTTTTGTTCCTGATTTAGAGCATCGACAGTTCTTTTGGTTTTTATTGAGACTTTAGTGCTGTTTGTTCTTAATGTTTTTATTTGATTTGATTTATTGTTGTCACGTACCTAAATACAGTGAAAAGCCTTGTTTTGCGAGCAGTACAGGCAGATCATAGCAAACAAGGACATACAGATCATAGGGTGCTTAGGCAAAGCGAGGCATACAAGGTTATGTCTGTACAGGAGGTGCACAAAGCAAGATCAACTTTATTTGAAGTAGTTTAAATCTTTTCATAATTTGATGCAGAGGTGCTGCAATAGAGTTTGTGTGCATATAGCTGAAATGACATGGACGACTGTCTGTGTGGAGTTTGCACATTCTCCCTCTGTCTGCGTGGATTTCCTCTGGGTGTTCAGGTTTCCTCCCAGAGTCCAAAGATGTGCAGGTTAGGGTGGATTGGCCATGCTAAATTGCCCATAGTGTCCAGGGATGTGCAGGCTAGGTGGGTTAGCCATGGGAAATGCAGGGTTACAGGGTTAGGGTACAGGGGGGGTGGTGGTGGATCTGAGTGGGATGTTCTTCAGAGGGTCAGTGTGGACCCACTGGGCCAAATGGCCTGTTTCCACACTGTAGGGATTCTGTGATCAATTCCTCTATGATTGTATGTGTTTTTGTTTGACACACAGTTTTTGTGACACACTTATTTCTGTTTATTGATTTCCTATCCCCAGGACAACATTCTGAGCACCGTTCTTTAGCTGGCACATTCTGCAAAGGAGAGATAAGGAACAGAATACGCAGATTGGCAGAGCAACCTCCTCTCAAGCTGGATGACACTCCTAGGGTAGGTGCACAGAAATCTCATTTATGTGGTGGTTGCCCTAGTCAGCAAGCTCACTGTGGTTTACTACATATATTTTAGGATCTTTCTTCAGATTTTGACATAAAATATTCAACTGAACGTTTGTATTTTTATGCCAAATATTTAAACTGACAAATGTACAGTAATAAAAAGTTAACAGCATCTGTAAACAGTGAAAACATACACATCTGTGTAAAATTTTAACTGTTTTATGTTCTTTAAAAATCAACGGCTGATCGAAAACTTATTCTGATGTCATTACAAAAAAAATAATTTGTACGTAATGGTGATCCTGTACTTGTCAAAGTAAAATAAAATTCTTCCTCTGATTTTATTTTGGGGCCATCTTTTGTTTTTTTGTTTTGTTTCACTCATGTATAGATTTATCATGTGTGTGTGTGTGTTGGAACAAATGCTTTAAAAGTTCTTATATTTTGGAACTACCTTGGTCTGACAAAAAGGTGCGAGAGAAATTCTCCAAATGCCCTGAAATGATGTTTCTTGCTTGTGCTGAAGGAGATATTAGTCAGTGCTTTTTGTGAATCTGTTCATATTTCAACACCCCTCCATTAATTCATTTATCTCAACACCCACCTCCCTCTCTGCCTTTCTTGAAAACCTTGCCCTTTTGCTAAGGTATCTGTGCTTTCAACCAGACAGCTGCAGTTCAGACCAGAGTTTTGACAGTGAATGGCATCAGCCAGTTACCAATGCAACCAAATCTATTCTGGTTCCCAAATCACGTGACAATGTGCAGCTTCGGGATGTTTCAACATGATGAGCTGTTATGTGAATAGAAATATTGTATTAGTCCAGAAAATGGAGTGTGACCCTTTGAGATTCATAATTTTAAGTCTGAGTGTAGTAATTGTTAGTGACTCCAAGTACAATCTTCATACCATACTCATTGGCTCTTTGCTGATGTTCATGGTTCACCAGTATTCATATGATAAAAAGATGCACTTTTATAAAGAATCTGTCACAGCTTCTGGACTTCTCAAAGGGTCTTAGAGAAAGTTATCCTTTCTGTTAATTATACAATGCTAATATTCTTTAGGAAGGACATTTCCCATCTTTATCTGGAATGACCTACATGGGATGCCAGACCCACAGCAATGTGCTTGACTCTGAAAAGCCCTCTGAAGTGGCCCAGCAAGACAGTAGTAGTTGGATACAAACAAAAACATCTCAAATAAGGAATGTAAATAGACCTCCTTCCTAACATCAGGAGTCTAGTGCCAAAATTGGGAGAGCTGTCTCACAGACTAGTCAAGCGACAGCCTGATATAGTCACACTTCTGAAATCACACTTTCCACACAATGTCCCAGACACCACCATCACCAGCCATGGAGATATCTTTCCAACAGCAAAGGCAACAGCACCGTTGTATGCAGTTGGGAGGGAGTTGCCATGGGACTCCTCACCATTGACTCAGACGCCATGAATTGTCATGGCTACAGGTTTAAAACGGACAAGGAAATCTCCTGCTGATTACTGCACACCAAGCTCCTCAGCTGCTGAGTCAGTGCTCTTCCATGTTGAACACCACTTGGAGGAAGCACTGAGTGTGGCAAGGGTACAGAAGGTGGAGAGGGGAAGATGAATGGATTTTAATGTCTGCCATCAAGAATGGCTCGGCAGCAGCACTATTGATTGTGTTAGTTGGGTACTAAAGGACATAGCTACTAGACTGGGTTTGCAACCGATGGTGAGGGAACTAACCAGAGTACAAAGGGACCCTGATCAGATGGGCCAGTGGGCTGAGGAGTGGCAATTGGAGTTTAATTTAGATAAATGTGAGGCGTTACATTTTGATAAGGCAAATCTGGGCAGGACTTATATGCTTTATAGTCGGATACTGGGGAGTGTTGCCAAACAAAGGGACCTGGGGTACATGTGCATAGTTCCTTGATAGTGGAGTCACAGGTAGACAGGGTAGTGAAGAAGGCAATTGGCATGCTTGCCTTCATTGGCCAGTACATTGAGTAAAGGAGTTGGGAGGTCATGTTGTGGCTGTACAGGACATTGGTTCGGCCACTTTTGGAATACTGCATTCAATTCTGGTCTCCCGGCTGATAGCATTACAACATCTAAAAGGCATTTGGATGGGTACATGTATAGGAAGGATTTAAAGGGATATGGGCCAAATGCTGGCAAATGGGACTAGATTGTGTTTAGGATATCTGGTTGGCATGGACAAAGGGTCTGTTTCCCTGCTGTATAACTCTGTGACTGTAAGAAGGAAAACCATACTTGGTAAGAGTGACCACTGCACAGTCCTTGTGGAGATGAAATCCTGCCTTCACATTGAGAACACCCTCCATTTTGTGCTGTGTGGCACTATCACCGTGCTAAATGGGACAGACTTCGAACAGATCTAGCAACTCAAGACTGGGTATCCACGAGGTGCTGTGGGCCATCAACAACAGCAAAATTGTACTCCAGCACAATCTGCAAACTCACTCAACCGTTACTATCAAGCCAGGGGATGAACCCTGGTTCAAGTGCAGGAGGGCATGCCAGCAGCAGCACCAAGCGTACCTAAAAATGAAGTGTCAACCTGATGAAGCTACAAAACAGGACTACTTGTATGCCAAACAGCATAAGCAGCAAATGATAGACAGAGCCTAGTGATTCCTCAATTAACAAATCAGACCTAAGCTCTGCAGTTGTGTCACATCTAATTGTGAGTGGCGATGAAGAATCAAGCAATTCACTGAAGGAGGATGGTCCATAAATGTCCTCATCCTCAGTGATGGGAGAGCACAGCACATCAGTGCAAAAGATAAGGCAGAAGCATTCACAATAATCTTCAGCCAGAAGTGCAGAGTGGATGATCCATTTTGGCCTACTCTGGTGGTCCCGAACATCATAAATGCCAGTCTTCAACCAACTTAATTGACTTCACGTGATATCAAGAAACAGCTGAAGGCACTGGCTTTTGCAAAAGTAATGGCCCTGAAAACATTTCCGGCAATAGTACAGATGAGTTCTGCACCAGAACGTGACACATCCCTAGCCAGGCTATTCCAGTAAAATTACAACTATGGTATCTACCAACAATGTGGAAAATTAATTGCCACCTCACTAGCGTGCTTTCAATCATCAGTAAAGTGATGGAAGGTGTATCAACAGTACAAAAGCGTTGAATTCCAGAAATGAGGTGAGAGTGAGAGTGACAGCCCATGAAATCAAGGCTGCACTCGATCCAGTGTGGCATCAAGGAGTCCCAGCGAAATTAGAGTCGTGGATATCAGGGGAAACACTCTTCTAGTGGAGTAGTACCTGACTGCAGATGGTTGTGGTTGTTGGAGGTAAGTCATCTCAGCTCCAAGATGTCTCTGCAGGAGTTCCTCAGGGTAGAGTCCTTGGCCCAACCATCTTCATCTGCTTCATCAATGGTCAGCCCTCCTTCATAACTTCAGAAGTGACAGTGTTTGTTAATGGTTGAATTATGTTCAGTACCATTTGACTTCTCAGATACTGTACAAATGCAGAAAATCCTGGACAATATCCAGGGACTGACAACTGGCAAGTAATATAAGTGCCACAAATGAGCCAAGCATTGACCATCTCCGACAAGAGAATCTATCCATATTCAATAGCATTACCATTACTACATTCCCCATATCCACATCCTTGTGGTTACCATTGACCAGAAATTGAATAGCACATCAGAGGTAAGGAATCCTGCAGTGAGTAACTCACCTCCTAACTCCAGAAAGAACAAATCCGGTGTATGATTGAATAGTCCCCATTTGCCTGGATGGGTGTACTCCAACAACACTCAAAAAGCTTGACACCATCCAGGACAAAGTAGCCCACTTGACTAGCACCACATTCATAAACATTCACTACCTCCAACACTGATGCTCAATAGCAGCAGTGTATTCCATCTTCAAGATGCACTGCAGAAATTCACCAAGACTCTTAGACAGCACCTTCCAAACTCATAACAGCTACCATCTAGAGGGAAAAGAACAGCAGGTACACCTGCAAGTTTCCCTCCAAGCCACTCACCATCCTGACTTGGAAATGTATCGCCAATCCTTCACTGTCGCTGGGTAAAAATCCTAGAGCTCCCTCCTGAATGGCATTGTGGATGGGTGCTCACCATATGAACTGCAGTGTTTCAAAAATGCAGCTCAGCACCATCTCCTCAAGGACAACTGGGGATGAGCAATAAATGCTGGCCAGCCAGCGATGCCCACAGAAAAGAGCAATGAAAGATGTGTCACAAATGCTGGCCCCTGCTATTGATGTCCACAGTCAATGAAGGAAGAAAGAAAAAAAATTCAGTCATGTGTTATGTGCTTGAAATATATGTGTGCATTGTGGGAGTGCAAGAGAGTATTCGCCAAAGCTCAGTCCATGTACTCATGTAGACATTGACTAACTTAAAGTGATTTCTGTCATCTTCTTAATATTCCATCACAGAAAATGTTGTTCCTAGGAGCTGTGGGCCTGACCACTCAGAGCAAGAAAGAAGAAGTCAAGCAGCAGAAGATGAGAAAGCGCCGCAGGATGCTGCGAGAACGCAGCCCATCCCCACTTTGTTCTGAGAAGAAACAACTTTCTCCTCTTCCTCCTCCCTGGTTTTGTTCTGTCAGCCACTCTTCAGAGGAACTGAACAGGGCGGCTGATTTTGAGGAAAAGAAACAGTTTCTTGCACTCTTCAACTTAAAACATTTGACCGCAGCGCAAAGGAAAGGTAGGTTAACACTCTCCTTGCAGTGAGAATGAACAACGCATGATCGATCGGATTGAACAATAATGTAGTATACAATAAGGAGTCTTTCTTGCATTCACATTCTTTTCAGGTGACTTGTGAATAATTGTGGGAGCGAGTACTGTCTTTTTTCCTGAACCCTCTCTTCCCCACAATTAGCACAAAAAATCCTAACCAGAGTTGAATCGATCATAAAGTAGTATGAACAGAATTGTTTAGCATACTTTTCATCAATCTATTTACTTTCAATTTTTTTTTTGTTTCCACTGCTGCATTACTGTTTCATGACAGCAGGATCTTGTTCCCACACTATTTCCATGTACTCTACCTACCAGAAAAAGAGCACTTCCCACATGCAAGTCCTTGCCTCTTGAAGTAGAACTAACCCATGTGAAAGAAGTGAATGGGATATCATATATCAGGATAAGCATCCATTGTCATTCCTGTGAGGAAAAGGAAATGATACAAATTGTCCACAGTAAAAACTGATCTCTCCTACAGTAGTAAACCCATAGGTGCATTGCTTTCCTGCTTCAGTTGGAACCTACCATAGGAAACCCTAATATCCCGTGTTCTGAATGAAGGAGAAATGCAACATTGGATTTTGGGTGAATGCCATTCCATTGAATTCCTAGTGAGTTTTGATCCTGCAAAAATTGCAGAAAAAGTGAGCCAAGAGGGCAAGCAACTGAAGAAAACGAAAAGCAGTGCGGAAAAGGTAGAAGCGAGAAAATAGGGAAGTACAACAGTGATATCATAGAGAACAAGAGACAAAAGCGTGAAGGAGGTGAGAAAGAAACCGAAATATGCAGGAAAAGAGAGACAGAAGTGAAGGAATGGAGATGGAAGTGAAAGAGGGAAGCTTGGCAAAAGTGAATTAGGAAAAATAATAGAATTGAATGGGAGGGTAAAGGATTGCAGTGGGATCAGGTATAAATAGCAGAGTCAAAAGATTTCAAGCCACATTAAATACCCTAGAAGTGCAAATGTAGCATTAATCATGACATTTCCAAACCAATTTAATGATGCAAGATTGGCTTAACTTTGTGTTATAAGAATGTGGCCCTTCGATGCTTAAATACATGACCTCAGAGAAAAATTTCTGCTTCTGTTACATTTAAATCATATATGGAATCACACAGTAAAGTTAACCTCCTACATTACAGATATTGAAGAGACTTTGTTGAAGCTGTTAAGTAAAAGTGGGAAGAAATGCAATCCTCAACTAGATTCACAACTTTCAGATCCACCTCAATGTGACAAGGATCCAGCTGTGCGGTCAGGTAGGAGTATTGTCTGTGCAGTAATGTTTCCAATTTTGTGCTTCTAAATATACAGATCATCCTGAAAGAAATGGATGATAGCAGAAACCATAGTGTCGTCTTATCTTGTTATTTTCCTGCTTCCAGTATTGGCTTTATGTGATGAAATGTTTTCTTCAATAATTTGACATTTATAGGCTCTGTATCATCACCGTTTTGTTGTCTTTGCAGGGGTGATAGGCACTTACAACTTAGACTTTGTGACAATCATTAGTGACCTTCTTTCAGCTTCTTCAACCTTGACTCCTCATTAAGAGGGAGGATTTCCTTAGTTTACTGTTACAATGAAATCATAAATCTATCTTTTATGCTTGTGTTTACAGTGTCACAATTAGAGAGGAACTTGTTCAGGATTACACCATAAACATGAAACTGCCTTTACCTTTAACAGAGCCTATCAACAATTACCTGCCCACTGCTGTTCAATGTGCCCCTTCCCCCAGTGCAATTCTACCAGTGGCATGCGTGGCGTCGGACAACCTGCCCACCAGATGTCAATTGCAACCTTTAAGTGGACAATTAATGTCCACTTAGTCCTCATCCTGCCACAGTCAGTGTTTAACCAGGAGAAGTATACTCCGAGCTATCAGCCCGGCAGCTTTCCCTGCACAGGATTGTGGAAAGGGAGTGGGGAACTCCTTCCTTACTTGACCAGCTGAGCCCATTAGAGTATTCCCCCTGCGTTCCCCACCATCGAATAAAGGCAGAATACCGCAGATACTGGAAGTCTGGCAGCATCTGAGGAGAGAGAGAGAAACAGAGTTAATAATGGAGAAGCGTCGTACCAAACTCAAATTGTTGACGCTGTTTCTATCTCAGTGGACACTGCCAGACCTCCTGAGTTTATCCAGTGTTCTCTCTCATCATTCACTGGGCTACTACCAAGCACTGAACAAAAGGAAAGCAAAGTATGAAAGTGGTACCAATTGCAGTATTAATCACAGTTCTATCTTCTCTTTTAAACCTCACACTCTTTCTATGTATAGAGCCGTGTTAAATCATTCCTTTCAGTTACCTAATTAGTTCTTGGTAATAAAAGAGAGTGACATTGCTTTAAATAACACGTGTTAGGGTGTGGAAAAATGTAGATGCTTTACACCGAATTTTATCACTATTGCTGAAATGTATGATATCATTTGGGTCAGAGAAAACCCTTTATGAGAATATTTTTGATTAATTTAGCCCTATTGCCTTTCACATCAGTTATGATAATAGTCAATCTGAGTGAGGGTGGCAATTTAGTTTAAATATAGAGCAAGTTAGGCATCATTTTGCACTAATGTCGATTTGCTTGGGAAGTGGGGGGAGTCTTTGTGTAAATAATGACATTCCTGTCTCTGCGTCAGAAGCATAAAAATATCCTGTTATTTTTATCAGTTCCCAGGAGTACAAAAATCTGTTTTACCACTAAGTTTAAGTTAGTGAGGTTCCCCACCACAATTTCAGCCAACAATGAGGGTTGTTGTTTTCGGACTCACACCCAAGCTTCCGAGCTTGGTTTCTGAGTTCCACTAACTCCCATATTGGGAAGGATGGTCATTGACTAACTGGCCCCATTTCCCAGTAGCCCTAAGCAATATTTCAGCAGAATTAGCTCAGTTGGTTTCCTGGCACAGGGGGACGTTAACTTGCACATTCGTAGTTTTAATTTGTAACTCCAACCCAATATTAAACTCTTGCTCTATATCCTCCCTGTTGGAACAGATCCCCACTGTTATTAGAGTCATAGAGGTGTACAGAATGGAAACAGACCCTTCGGTCCAACCTGTCCATGCTGACCTGACTCCTAAATTAACCTAATCCCATTTGCCAGCATTTCGCCCACATCCCTCTAAATCCTTCCTATTCATAGACTCATCCAGATGTCTTTTAAATGTTGTAATTGGACCAGCCTCCATCACTCCCTCTGGCAGCTCATTCCATACATGCACCACCCTCTGTGTGAAAACATTGCTGCTCTAGTCCCTTTTAACTCTTTTGCCTCTCACCTTGACCAATGCCCTCTAGTTTTGTACTTCCCCACCATGGGGAAAAAACCCTGGCTATTCACCCTATCCATGCCTCTGAAGATTTTATAAACTTCTATATGGTCACCCCTCAGCCCCCAATGCTCCAGGGAAAAGAGCCCCAGCCTATTCAGCCTCTCCCTATAGCTCAACCCCTCCAACACTGGCAACATCCTCGTAAATCTTTTCTGAACCCTTTCAAGTTTCACAACATCCCTCCTATAGCAGGGAGACCGGAATTGCACGCAGTATTCCAAAACTGGCATTTGTGTGCATTCCATTTCAACCCTTATCACTGCAATGAAAAGTTTGCTTCAATATGCCATTATCCCTGAGGAAATGGGTCAGGGGGGTGAACCTATGCTTATTTTTGTCTAAGTTTAAGTTACATCACATTTTTTGGAGGGATTCTCATGGTGGCGCCCAGCAAGATATCTCACTCTATTTTATCAGATGCATCTCTCGAACTACCTACCCTTCCCCTATAGCATCTCTCACAAGCCATTCTTGGCCAATCTTACCAAGTGCCATTCCCAGAATAAATTGACTCCAGTTATCTGCTGGAAGATTAGCATCCCTTGCTCCCATGCCATCTTTAAACGCCCGCTATGCACCCAGATAAGCGCTGTCAGCCCTGTGGGAGTTCTTGACACTTTCCCTAAATGTGGCAGATGAGGAGAAATTGGCACCCTGCTTTGTGGGCAGGGACCTGGAGGTTTGCTGGACAGGGTGGTCAGACGCTTTTCCCCCAGGACCAGCTGTGGCGGTCATGGCACCAGACCATGCCAGCCTGGCCCAAAGACTCCACCCTCTGGACGAATATCCTGTACTGTAGGAAGAAGGTCAGTGTCCTTCTCCACTCTGCCAACAAGCCACCACCTGCTCTCTCTGATACCTCACACTCACTCTATCTCTGCTACTGTACCCTCCTCCAGGTTGACCAGTGCTTGACCAGCTTGACCAGTCTCTATATTTCCTACAGCACTGCCTCCCCTCACCAGCCTTCCCTGCCAACCTCTGACACCACTAACCCTCCGTGCCCTCTGCCTACTTACTCAGTCAGGACACCTGCCCCAAAAATAGCAGCTGTGTCACCCATTTTCATCTCTCTTCACATTTGCTTTATCTTCATCCTGCTGAACTTTCTCCTCCCAGTGTTGCTTTGCTGAAGTCTCTTCACTTGCCCCTTGAATTTCCCTGTTATTACATTTAGGATCGAGGTCCACTCCTCACTGCTGACTCCTAGGTTCTTGCTTCCCTCCAGAATTCAAACTGAGGTCCTGAACACCACCCCGTGGCTGATGTCAGTCAGTGCAAAAAGTCCTGTGTGTCCAACTGCACCAGACATCTTCTGCCACCAGATGGAGCCTGGTCAATTTGCCTATAGTGAAGAATACTACATTTTTATATTGTATATTTTTATATGTATTTTAGTTTTAAAATTATTTTATTTACAAGTTGGAGTTTAGCCATTTAAAGTACAGCTGGTATTATATTTCAACTTAGAGAGTACAGATTTCATGTATTTTTTTCTCCACTGCGAAAGACCCTATGGAACCTAATTCCCGTTTTAATATTGATTCCCATAGCAATCAATGCTTCACTTAAAGTCTTTTCACTTAAATATGAAATGTTCAGAAATTCAACCTGGACTTTAAGTGAAGACACCCTGTACACATACTGTGATAGAATCTGTGGGCAAAACTTTTGTTTTTTTTGAGACAGACACAGGCTCCAATTGAAAAAGTAAACTGACCTTCACAGTTACTAAAGAAAGTAAGAAATTAAGATTTAGAAACCAAAGCTTCTGGTTGAAACTAGGAAACAGAGTATGAAGGGCTCAGTAGAGGTTGATGAATCCAGTGGTACAATGAAGAAGACAAATGCTTAGTTCCAGAAGCTGACAGTAAGCTGCAGTTGTTCCTGTTAATTGAAGATAACAATGGGGGAGCTACACCACCCAGACCAAGTTGAGAAGGCTTAACACACTTGTACCATCTTTGCTGAAGACTGTGCCTGTGAAACTCCGTTTCGTTCTGCATTCTTGTCAGCCAAGGATCAGGCTACATCCTGGAAGAAGAGGAGCTGAAACTCCTCATAAGGAAGACAGAGTTTTGAAGGATTTTATGTTTACTGACCTGTATGTTGAGTAGACTGCTGACACAGTTCTCTCTATCTTAGTTGTACCTAGTGTTTTAAATTGATGCCAACTTCCAATTCCAGTTATAAATTATAACATTTATAATCAACTGCAATTTGCCTGTTTAGTCATTTTTGACTAATTCAAGTCATTTTGGGCTTTAGAGTATTGGCTTTTAATGAAGATAATATCTAGTGTTGTTTTGTTTTGATTCTTGTGCAATATGAATTCCTCTGTTTCAAATAATGAAACTTAGTGGTTACATTCTTTCAGTAAATAAATGGGACTTCAGATTGTTTTTTTTCTGAAACGTAAGGTTACTTGTCTCCACCAAGATTGTATTAATATTTGACGTTCATCCTTAAGTTGACACCAATGTTTCTTAATTTCAGGAGTAAAATCAATATGTAAGTTTGCAGCTACAGCAGGCAATATGGGAGAAGGGACGTACAGGGCCATATGGCTATATCAGACCAGCAAGTCCTTCACATATCTTCTAAGGAAGGGTCACCGGACCCGAAACATTAACTCCCATTGCTCTTCACAGATAGTGACAGACCTGCTGAGCTTTTCCACCAACATCAGTTTTCGTTTCAGATTTACAGCGTCCACAGTTCTTTCGGTTTCCATTATATATTTTGCTTGATTTTCTTTGTAATTAAATCATTCACCTATCATAGACCCCATCCAATTATCCTTACTGACAGCATCAGATCAGTGGGGGTGTATAATTTTCCAGAGTCAAAGAAACTTGCATCCAAAATCTAAAGACACAAAGCAGAGGGCAATCCTCAAATGTGGTATGTTTGCCATCATTTAATTTCCTGCTGCAGAGGATTAATGGCAGAAACAGATTAGTGCAGGTTACTGATTTCTTTCTTGTTCCCCAGTGCCTACTGTCTGGGTACAGAGAAGGTGGAAGTGCTGATCAACAAGGAGCAGAGCTAATTTTGTTGTTTTTTCCATTGCTTTAATTGGGTAATCTGACCATCAAAACAGTGAGGGAACTGGAAGCTGGCATCAATTAAAGTGGTTGCTCCCTGGGTCTGTGTAAACATGATTACATTATTATTAATGGGCGGATTGAATTATTCCTCCAATCTGGAATCCTTCACTCAGCAAGGCAGATCCCCTAGCTCCACGTGTTAAATAGAATTTTGTTCCTCTAATCACTCAAGTTGGGAGGATTTTTGATGAGATGCAGTAATCCTGAGTCAGCCTAATTTTCACGGGATGCATTTTAAAAAAAAAAAACCTGAGCACTCTGCTCATTCTTAAAGGAGATTATTTTCACTTGACTTTCATTGGCAGCGTCCAGTGAAAGTTTGCCATACCTGCTAAGCAGACCCCTGCAGTAACCCATACTGGATTGTACATCAGGTTTGGTTTAGACCCAGTTGTTCCATCAAGTATTCAAAGCAGAGAGACCGTCCCCAGACGATACCCTCGTCAGAAGATGTGAGCAATGTTGCTGTCAGGACATTTACACCAAGGAACTTAAGCGTTCGTAGAGACATCAGGAAACGAACAGATGATGCATTCTTATTTTGCAGATGCTGCTGGCATGATAGGTGTAGCTGACGTGAGCTGTCTCCTGGTGCTTCCAACTGACAGCAATCTAAACACGCGGTCTCAGGAGGATCTGCTGGCACAGCCTCAGGCAGAACAACACAGGCCCAGGCTGACACCAGAAGCATCAGAATCTGTGTCAAAGGATTGCACAAGCAGCATAAGTGAGAACAAATCTGACAAGGTGGGAGTGCCGGAGCCTTGTAGCACCTCCAGTGGCCAGGGGAAACCATCTGGGATGCTAACCGACAGGAATGGAAAAATCAAACTGCTGGATGAGTTTTTGCAGAACTTCCGTGAATCCGTGTTCCAGAACAATAAAAGCCAGGCTTCGGACCAGTCCAAAGGTAGCAGATTAATTTTAAATAAAATCCAAAGAGAATTGTGCATGCTGGAAATCAGAAACCGAAATTGCTGGAAAGGCTCAATAGATCAGGCAGCCTCAGAACTGGGGAAGGGTCACTGAACTCAAAACTTTAACTCTGATTTCTCTCCACAGCTGCTGCCAGACCTGATGAGCCTTTCCAGCACTATCTGTTTTTGTAACTGATTAATTTTGTATGGAGAGTTAATGGACCAAATTCCCTCTTTGCGACCGCACCCAACCCCCTGTCCCACCCCCCACCCCTCACATTTTTCTTTCCTCTTGTTGGCAGCCTCCAGCTTCAGCCTGGCAAATTGTGTAACTGGCATCAGCCCCTGTGTACCATCGGGCAACAGGAAAGACAGTTCAGATGGGCCGGGACAGGCAACGTAATTCTTAAATCCATGCCGTTAAGTGGTGTAACTAATTTGTTGCAGGATGAAATTCACTAGCAAACTCCTGAGTTTTTCACAGTGGCCGTTTGTAAATTGTTCAATCTGTTCAGAGTAATAGCAGATCACGACCCCAGGTTCTAGCTGTTTGTAGACCGACAATGTTAAATTTAGCACAAAATTACATTTAGCAACACCATATTCATATTTGAATTCTAATTTAATTTGATTTTGATTTTGATTTATTATTGTCACATGTACCAAGATACAGTGAAAAGTGTTGTTTTGCATGGTATCCATGCAAATCAGATCTTACGTAGGTACATCAGAACATAATGTAGGATATAATGTTTACGGCTACAGAGAAGGTGCAGAGAAAGATCAACACTAATATGAGAGATTGGTTCATATGCTTGATAACAGCAGCGAAGAATTTGTGTCATGCATACCTAACACTTTACTGACACGAACACAGACAACGAACAGAGTTTAATGACCACACTGGTGGCACTGTGCAATGACCAAAAAGCTCACTGAAATCCCACTGCAGCCATTTCCGGGAGCCCAGCTGGGATTAAATCCCGGGCGAGCGCTTACCTGCCTGCTGTCGGAATTCCCTGTGCTTTATTGAGGGAGATATCCTGTCTCCAGGAGTAGCTGGCCAATCCGGAGACTGCCAGTTCTATAGTCCTGGGAGGCTACTGCTGGACTACAAAAAACACCCAGGAGCAGTGCTGGAGACAATGCAGGGTAGAGGGTGGGGTAGAGGGAGGGGTTGGTGGCCTTACCACGGGCTGTCAGGCAGGCAATGTTGATGAAAGGGAAGGGGTTTCCGTGTGGAGGACAAGTGGGAGTTTCCCATCATGGAAGCGATTGACACTGTCAGGGTTTTCCATGGGGCACAGAGTCTCCAAGCAGAAGGGTATTACCCACCAAGCCTTCAGGCAGGGTATACTCAGCAACCTGCCCACATGGGATACCATCCTGGCTCTCCCTCACCAACACTGGAATACCAGTGCAGTGAGAAAATGGCCTAACATGGCCTTCAATCGGGTCAACTTTGACCTTCCCTGACCCACCTTAGTAGGCTCAGAAGTGAGAGAAGTAGTTCCAGGAAGAACTTGAAGAGCTTAAAACAGCAGGAACTGATGAGGGAGCAGAGAAGAAACAACTTGAAACGAGCAAATCTATCAACCTCGGGAAAAAGAGCTTAAATAATATTTGACACCAGCCAAGTGGCACAGTTTATAAAAGCATTAATTATGTGGTCTCGTACAAATTGGGTAAGTGGGATGTACATTATATTGAATTATACTGAGTTGGCTGATTTCTGAGAGACATCTGCCAGGTCAATAAAATCAACCTCTGCAACAACTACTTGGATTCGTGTAGCATAATTAACATAATAAAATGCCACAACTTGCTTCACAGGAGTTCAACAAAATTTGGCGCTGGGTCACATAAGGCAATATTGGGGCAGTTGATCGGAATCTTGTTCAGGGAGGTAAGTTTGAAATAGGATGTTCAAATGTGAGAGGTGTAACAGTTTAGGGAAGAACTTCAGAAGCTTAGATCTGTGGCAGCTGAAGATACAGCCACCAATGTTGGACCAATTGAAACTGGGGTGCGCAAGAGGCCAGAAACGCAGGGTGTGGTGCAAGGAGAAGATTACAGAGATGGGGAAAGAGGAGGCCATGCGGAGATTTGAAAACAAGGGCGAGAATTTTAAAATCGAGCTGTTGCTTAAGCAGGAGCCAATGCAGGTCCGTGATCACAGGGCTAACGGATGAACTTTTACCAGTGAGGAGATTTGGAGTACTGTGCTATCCATTACGTGACAGGGTCAGGATTTGTCAACAACCATTAGGATGCAATTTAGAAGGTCTTCAAATTGTTAGTACTTTCTGTGTAGTCTCTTTCAGTTCAATTCTTGATTCCCAATGGACCACTGCTAGTTAGTTCTGGGGAATGTAAATTATATGTGGAGGTGGAAAACTGAGGTGAGGCAGCAGCATGTAACAAATTCCAGTGTGGGCAAACCTTGACAAATACCATCAATCCAGATCGCACTTTGACACCAAAGTTTTGCAGTGATGGCAATTTTACTCTTAATTTAAAGTTAAAATCTACCCTTTTGAGTACATTTGATTTCAGCTCATAAAACTAAAAGCCACTACATTTAAACGATTTTGTTTCAAAAATGAGGATGGTTAAACCAAATTAGCATCCCTGGCTGGATACAGATTATCACACAGGCCCTTGAATATGGCTATTTATTGCCATAAACTTTAATTCTGAACTGAAGCAACAGAAAGAAATGTGATAAAGTATCTCCTATGGATTGCTCCCCTGAATCGGATTGGCCACCTGGTTCTAGGCTTTGGTCGGCATTACGTTTACACATTTTCCAAACCAAATAATACATTGTGTCACCGACTACAATTCGATAGGACCAATGTTTTCCTGAAGCACTGAGATTTTGCAAAACGTAGGAGTCCATCAGATATGCTCCACTTGTGCCAGAAAATAACTGATTTTGTGCAAGTTTCATACTCTATCACAATACAGTGAAATGTTAGTTTGGTGAGAAATAGGTGGCAGTTTGAAATTAACAATTACATTAAAACTGATGACAGCGGAGTGCTTCCCTGTTACTAGTTAAACTGATAACTTTAAAGCAAGGCTTTATATTTTGCCTTTGAGACCTACACACCACATGACTAATAATTACTTGATATCTTTTCCTTTGCCAGGTGTGCTGTGTCCAAACAATGTGGTGTGCTGACTGATTCATCGTGCATGTATCTTTGAATTGAAATACCATTTTGTTCATTAACTTTTCAGTGGGTGTTGAGAATGGTGCACAATGCAGCTCACCAGCTCAGAGGTCATCGCTGTGTGATGTACCAAAAGAGCAAGTGCTCGAGAGTATAGATCGGAGCAGACAGGTTAACCAGCAGTCAGAGGAATTGGACAGCCAGGTTGAAATGGAGCAGCATCTAAAATGGCAGGGTGTGACGGGCGTCCTTCAAGCCTATCAAGAATATATTGAAGGTAAAAAAACAAAGCACATCCAAATAAGCCAAACTTGCAGGCTGCTTTGAATGTGATTGCAAATCTACTGGATTGCTTTTTCTCGATTGATTTTTTCCCCTTTGGAAACCAATGGCTGCTTAGAATCATAAGGTTCAATTTTAGTTTGTTCCACCCATTATAACCAGGGTGATAGTTATAGTGTCATACAGCACGGAAACAGACCCTTCGGTCCAACCAGTCTATGCCGACAATAATCCCAAATTAAACTAGTCCAATCTGCCTGTGCTTGGCCTGTATCCCTCCAAACATTTCCTACTCATGTACTTATCTAAATGTCTTTTAAATGTTGTAACTGTACCTCCATCCACCACCCCAGACACGAACCACCCTCCGTGCAAAAAAACTGCCCCCATGTCTTCATCAGTTGGCATATGCTACAACAGTTGCCATTTTGCTTGGGGCCTAGAGATGGATGTTCCAGGTGAGAGTCCACTTGTAAACTGTAAAAGAGGGTCCAATCTTACCAATTATCACCCAGGATTGCAAGAAGTATGAAGATGTGGATAGCATGTACCATAGCTACTGTGCATATTTCTAATAGGCATTGAGTGGAGGAGCTCTTGTGATGCAGTGGTACTATCCCAGGGTTCAAGTCCCACTGCCTCAAAGGAATGTAATAACACTGCTGAGCAGATTGATTAGAAAATATATTTAAAAATGGGCATTCAGTGATCTAACCACTGCTTCTTAGAGGAGCTGGGAAATTCTCGCAGGAAAAAAAAAATCTAAGATATGTTTAGTATTTGGGATGCCTCATAGCGCCAGGGAGACCCGGGTTCAATTCTGCCCTTGGGTGACTATTTGTGTGGAGTCTGTACATTCTCTCCGTGTCTGCATGGGTTTCCACTGGGTGCTCTGGTTTCCTCCCACATGTTAGGTGGATAGGTCATGGTAAATTGTCTGTAGTGTCCAGGGATGTATAGGCTAGCTGGATCTAGTCATGGTAAATGTGGGGTTATTCGGATGGGGTAAGGGGCTGGGTCCGGGTGGGATGCTCTTTGGAGGGTCAGTGCATATTTGATGGGCTGAATAACCTCTTTGTGCACAGTAGGGAATCAGTGATTCTGATGCTTCTCCTGCCCCCAGGTTTCTAAGGCTGCTTCACTCCTGGATTCCTCCTTTATCCAGGTACCAGCTCTCAGCTGGTTCAGCCGGCAAGCCAATGATTTTCCACTCAGCCACAAGCAGTGATCTGAAACAGGCCAGCCATGTAGCCCCCATCATTTACCACCAGGCTGCAAATAAGGCTTAGACCACAAAATGGCTAGAACCTCGTGTTGATGGCCACCTACCCTCGCTTAAAATTAAAAAAAGGCTCGTGTTTTTAGTGCATTCTGCCCATTTCCCTGCATGTAATTGTTCTCTGTCAGGTATTTGCACATACCTTTTTCTAAAGCCTGGAATGGATTATGCCTCAGTTATAGGGTAGACTTTTGTGCCTTCCGCCATGATGGATTTGGTGGCAGGAAGCATTTAATCAGGTCGAAGGATGGTGCATGTGGGGACTCTGACACCATCCCAACTCCACCCTGAGTGAGTCTGCCCAGTTCGCCATCAACTGAGGCCCTTAGCGGACATGTCAAACAACCAGACATTCTCATTTAGCAGTTGCCTTTGACACGTTTATCAGGGCCAATGAGCTTAACAAGAAGCTTAATGCACACTCATGTTTACTTTTAGCAATCTTAGGTGTGCTCTCTCCTAAAAAGGAGCTTGCATCTTTCCAAGGATGCCTGAAATTCCCCAAAGGTGGCTCAGAACCATATTCAAAAGCAAAGTGTTAAGTTATTTCCATAAATTCCAGGCCACACAGACCTATACGTTGAAGACAGTCACATGACACCACAACATGCGACATTCCAGCAAAAAGGTGCCCTCATCACCTTCAGTCTCTGTTCCTGTGTCATGGACACAGTGTAGTATCTTCACTTAGTCAGCAATGTATGTGTAATGTGCAGTAACGTTACTATGCACAGAACCCATACTATGTGTGTATGTCTGAGATAGTATAGCATTATAAGTAATCTAATATTGTTAACAAACCTCAGTTTAATTGACTCAATAAAAACCAAGTATTTGTGATATATTCTACATGGAATGACATTAAAAAAACCACAAAGCAAGTCACACTGGCAGCACGTGGGCACTAAAACCTATTAGTTAGAGCTAGTTTGTTGCAATAAGCCAATACTAAATGTAGACAAGCTGGAAGTAGGATTGCACATGTGGGCCACCATTTTCCAGAAAGTGAGCCGTCATCCATCTGAGTTCACAGCTGAAGGTGCTATAAACTGAATGAGGCATCATTACCTCAAAAGAAGCAAGGAACATCCGTGAGTCTACTCTCTGTGAGGAGAAATAAAACACGAGGGCATGCAGCTCACCCAATTTTTAAAAACAAATAGCTGAGTGACAGCCTTGGCTAAGAAAGTGATTCTGGAATTCAGCACAGAAAGGAAGCATGGATAAACAGTTTTCTGTATGAAACACGGCTTACTTGTGTCTAGCCATCAGTCAATACCACGATTTTCTTTTCCTGAAAGAAACACAAGTGACATCATCACCCCCTTTTTTGAATGAGCGCTGCCTGCAGGCACAACACTACAACTTTTAAAGGGGCAGCAACATACAATCAAGAAAGAAAAGAAGCTAAAAGCAAAAAAAAAGCATCCAGATCCTTACACTGGCATTTTAGAGGGAATAAATCTACAAAAGAAAAATGGAAAGAAAACATTTAAACCTAAATAAAAACTGAAAGAATTGCGGATGCTGTAAATCAGGAACAAAAACAGAAATTGCTGGAAAAGCTCAGCTAGTCTGGCAGCATCTGTGAAGAGAAATCAGTGTTAACGTTTTGGGTCGAGTGACCCTTCCTCAGAACTGGTGTCCCATACCTCTTATTTAAATAAAGAATCAATCAATCTTTATGACTCTGTAGAGAACTGAGAAAAAACAGCGAGCAGTCAAATTTCTTCTCCCTTTGAGGGGCACTTCAGAGTTAAGAAGAATAAAATCTGTTGTTATTTCAGATGTTGAGTGCAAATATCCTGAAAAGCATTTTCAAATTTTATAAGATCAACTGAAAAGTTCAAATCAATTTCAGGATCTGAAGGCTTGAATTCATATCGTATTGACAATAGCCAGCTTAAAGTCATGTTCAATTTGTAGCCAGATTCTACACAAAGGTATGGAATGCAATTTCACTGAAGCCAGCTGGCAGGCTTATAGAACTAGTCATTACCTCCACTCCCATCAAATCGTTTAGAAAATCACTCCTGACAAACCGAAAGAATGTACTACTGATGATCACTAGAAGAAAGTCATAAAATCAAACCAGTTATAGCAGGCTGGCAGTATCTTTGGATGCTCAAATCTGGAGCAACTATTGTATCTGTCAACAAATTGAGTAGAATATACAAAGGTTGTATGAAGCATTGCATATCTAACCCACCAAGACAGTATCCAGATTTCATGATATTTCCGAGCTATATTCTGCAAGAGGATATTGGGCTCTAATGTGTAGGAAGTCCGGTCAGTGCAGAGAACCCCAAACTACAACATAATGCTCCTCAGCAGTGTGTGAAGAAGGGCCAAACAAAGTCCAATATCAAAAAAGCTTAAGAAGTTTTATCCGCGTGACATGTCAACAAAGTTTAAGAGGTAACCTCAAGAATTCAGCTTACAGATCCCAGTTAGTCTGTACATGTAGTCTACTTGACGCATCACATAGACCCCTTCAGAAAAAAAAACTGAAGCTTTTGCATCCATCCAAAGTGATTTATCTCAAAAGGAATGGATGACATGCTAAATGTTAAGATCGGCACTGGTATCACTGCATATATCATCCCTTTATTCATCTCACACAAAATATACTCGGGAAACTAGCCCAGCGTGGTGCAGCCTGCACATCAACCAGCTAGCTGCTTACATCCAGTGTATTGGAATTATCTACCTTAAATTCCAATGTGGATCCTTGAGACAGACACCTGAAACCTTTCACATGTTCAAACAGATGGACCACCAATTATTGGTACACCAGTCTGTTTGGATCTATATATTAATACAATCCATGGTGTGAAAAATCCCATCAGTTGCAGTATAAAAGGATTCCAGACTGCACCATCAATCTCATACATTTCACAGCAAAGCTGAATAGAATCAACAACCTCTGTCAAGTGATGCTGGACGTCATTGAAAGCTTCATTTTGCTATTCTCCACAGTCGCCAGCACTTATGTGAAATTGACACATGCATTGCAAAGACCACAGCTGTTATGTCTAAGCTGAGTAAGAGAGTGTGGGATGAATCCTCAATGCACTGCTGTAGACTGGTGGGACCTGGACAACATGTACTAGAGAGAAGAAAAAAACTGAACAATTTCTGCCTTCTCTGTCTGAGGCGTTTCTTTGACATCTCTTCACAAGATAATGTTTTGGAATGAGCTAATTCAATCAGCATATACTCATTACTGTGCAACTGTGTCAGTGCTGCTTCCTTAAAAGGATGTTAACCTTAACCGTAAAAGCCTGCTGTCTAGTGAACTGGCCACTGGATCACAACCTCTTGAGCATCCATAGTCCGCTAAAATACCACTGGTAAATGCGATATGAAGACAGCAAACGTTGACAATGACACTTCTGAGACAGTTGCTGATGCCCTCTGGAGGATAACTGTTTGGAAGGGCTTTGGAAGAGAGAAACAGAAATGAAAAACTCCACTGGCTGAGAAGAGGACCCAGAGAAGACAGAGTTCAGCAAATCTTGCATCGTCTAAGACTGTAGTCTTCCTCTACACAAAATGCAGTAGAGGCTGCCATGCCAGGGTGGGGCCACCACAGCAGAAACCTTCATCTTACAAGATGAAAAATTGTCACCATTTTATTTATATAGCGCAGCAATACTTACTTGTTACATGCTATGAGACTTTGTCTCATCATGCAAGGTGCTATATGAATGCAATATTTTCTTTATTTTACTCCATTGACCAGCCAAGTGATACTGGCCTCAATTGGTTTCACTTGTGTCTTTCCAGTGGTAGTCATACAGATGGACAATAAATGCTTGCATAGCCTGCAATGCCCACATCCCTCCCATGTATAAATAAAAATGACAGTGTCTTTATGGAATGGCATCTCTTCATGCTGTCTCACCATGGCCTCTGGATTTTCTCCACAAAGGACTAACCTTGGTTCCCTCCTATTTCTCTTTTGTGTTCTGTGCCACAATTACATCTTCTAAAGGGAGATGTTAACAGTATCCCTGTCCGCTAAAGTTTTAAATTAGAGTTTTCATTCTCATGATCAAGTCTCTCTATTACCTTATCATCTCTCCCTATCCCTGTAATTTCCTCCTGTCCTACAACCCACCAAGAATTCTGCATTCTGGCCTTGGTGCATCCTCCAAATTCTTTCAAGAGTGTGGCTTCAACTGTCTTCGCCCAAATCTTAGGAATTCTTTCTCTGAAGCTCTTTCTCCCTCACCACCTCTCATCTTTTAAGATAATCATTAAGACCTACATCTTTGACCAAAGCTTTAATTGCCCTTGCTATAACCTATTTGGCTCGATGTCCATTTTTTATCTAATTACTTTCCTAAGAAGATCATGGGATGATTTCCTAAACTAAACCCGTTATATAAATGCACATTGTTGCTATTGTTAAGAACTGTTTCCAAAGCACTTGTGCTCTACAATCATGTTAAACAGGATTTAAAATCCAAGAGAAAGAAAGTAAAATGATAAATGAGTCTGGAGAAATCACAGTGACTGAAAAAAGGCAAAGCATTAAAACAGTAACAATTTTTCTTAAATCTTCCTGTCCGATTGTTTCTTATTTTCTCAGAATATTGCCAGTCTGGTTTATTCTGCTTTCTTTGAGAATTTTTTTCTTTTCTCATAGCCATCTGCCTTGCTTTCTTCATATCACTCTGATTGATCTTTGTTTCTGATCTATATGTTTACCATTCTGTTGTTAATTTCACTGCTTTACATCTTTCTGTTTTGTTACTACCTTTAAATCATTACAAGTAGTGTATAAACTGTGTATTGCACAGACATTTGCAATTGAGGTGGGCGTAAAAGAATCAATCCCAACCACTTCAATTTTGTTCATGTTTTAAAAAATAAGTCAAGGCTACAAATCCTTCCAGACTTAGTATGCAGGAGGCTGGAGATGGTCTTGTATTATGAAAAGAAAGAATAAAGTTGGCCGATGCAACTTGCATTAATGGAATTGATAAATTATTTTCGTTTTGCAGAGAAAAATGTGGAGCGACAAGTCCTCCAGGAGCAGCTGAATCATCTCAAGGAAAGAAATCGTGAATTAAACTTGACAGCAGAGTACCTCAGTGCACACATGTTGGTAAGAAATGACTTGGCTGCACAATAGCCAGATGCGTGGACACGAAGTTCATTAACTAAGTTACCCCTGCATTTCTGATTGTGCTCTGCTTAAAAAGCACCTCCTGCAGTGGCTACACTTAATAGGATGAACATCAGTAAATATTCACAGCTCCAAGGCAACTGAAATGTTCTTGAAAAATTGCTGGATGTCTTTTTGAGTTACATTAAGTGTTAGATCATTTTGGCAGAAATCTGACATTTTGCTGTCCTGATGATGTCCAATTCTGCACATGCTAGCAATGGTACAAGGGCCACATGTGAAAATGAGAGATCTAACTGCAGCACATGGCAGTAAAATGCCAACCAGCACTTGGAGTGGAACTTTTCTTAACTCCGAGACATCTGTTGGTTTTCAAAGAGCATTTTTCTTGACTTGGAAATGTTTACTGGTGTTTGCCCTTTTAAGTGGAATACTCCAGGAGGTGCCTTTACTGCTGTTTGTAGCAAGCAGTCAGAAACCAGAGACTTCAGATAATGTAGGGAGAAGAAGATCTATGTTAATTGTCAGTTTCAGGGGAAGGAAAGGGTACTTAGAAAGTCCATATCTGTTTGATTTATCACACGTGAATATAAGATGATTTGTAGTTGTGGAAATTACTCCATTTCCACTAGTTTCCAGTGTTTCTAGATTGAATAGACTTGGAAATCAGGCTGAAAGGAGTCCCCATTGTGACTGTCAGTCATCTTTGAATTATGGTTGCCAAGATATTTAAAACTTAAGTCTGTCCCCAAAGAATGGAATCAGTCACAAGATGATGGATTACACTCTCACACCCATGGTGTTTAAATTTTATTTTAGTCATGTTAATCTTCAGCTGTCCCTATGAGCAGGCTGATGCTCTACTCTGCCTAAGGCCTGCAGCAGCCATTTTTCTTTCTGGTCCATCCTTCTCTGGCAAAGGTAGGAATCTCATCAACAAAATCACTTGAAACAAGCCTGATTCTGGAAGCTTTCCCAGATAAGCAGCAGCATAGTTGGGCAAGTGTGCCAACTTTCCACCAGGGTCCTGCAAACTCCCAGCTATGAACATCAAAACATTGGGAGAGGTTAGTATTTGAAAAGATTGTATGTTGAGAAGGCTTGAGGAATTGGTCACCAACTCTGTACAGGTCATATGAATACATCCAGAAACTGTCCCATCAATCCCCCATATGCACCATGAAAATATTTAAAATTATCAAAAGTACTTCAATATTTATTTGTACATCTCATATCTTGATGACTGCTAATGGCCCAAGAAGCTGCGAAACTTAGCTGATATTAATTCTTCAAAGCAAATGGTCAATTGCTTTTAAAAAAACCTCAGTGCTCAATTCTAATCAAAGGTCCTGGTGGTAATAAACACCAGTTAATGTGGCATTTTGTCCCTACAGGAGCTGAGAATGTGTAAACAGAAGTATGAAGTGGAACGCCAGCACCAGCAAGCTGCCCTACGCAATCTGCGTAAGTGCCTTGATCTGACTCATTGCCTGCCTGAATCCTCACACAGATGAATTGAGGAATTTCATGCACTTGGGCAAGGACAAAACTACAGCCAGGAAGAATGCGCCCCGATTACAAGATAAGTTGTTCCTTCCGAGCTGATTGACTAGTTTCCACTTATGTCATTATTGTTTGCTTCAAGTGTCATCAGGATACAGTGTCGAAGTTCTCAATGGACTCTTGAAACCAAACTGCTCGATTGACAGGAGTCTCCCTTTGCCAAACACCTCAGCTTGCATAGTTACCCTCCACAGCCTAGCTGGACCAAAAGCTACACTGAGGACTTATAATGCAAAGCTGGATAGTGACACTTTGAGGATCCTCAGGTTACAGTAAATAATGCAGAAAAAGTGAAGTGAATGTGTAATCAAAGTACTTTTCTGTATTTAATAGAAAACATGTTTAGGTTTCTAATTTGTACATTAGCTGGAGAAAGCATTTATTTAGAAATTTGAAGCAGAAGGGAAATTTAATTGAGAAGGCCTGCTATATAAAGTAACAGAAAATTGTCAGCAAATAGAAATGCTAATTATTAACTATTCATTTATTTCATTTGGACCAGGTAAATTTTAAGGATAAATCTGAGTGTCATCAATGTGTCATGAGCACTTAACACATTCTTATCAAATTCCTTGCCACTACACTAACAGAAGCATTAATCTGTTTCAAGTTATTGCCTCTACTGAAATGACAGTGTGAAAGAATTTGATGTGGATACAGTCAGCATTCAGAACATCCTTTCTATGCTCTTCTTTCTTTTTAAAAAAATCACACTTTGCCTAATACTTGGATCTATGTAATGTTGATGTTTATATATATTCACAATGAATCCTTTTTTTTGGTTTGTATATTACAGTGCAGCATTATTCACCGATTATAAAGTTAAATGTATATTTTGAAGTTCTGCAACGGGTTTGCTTTTAATTCAGTTGTTGGTGATAAAAAGGTACAGATTTGCATTGAATTAAATAGATTAATGCAGCGATAAGGACAGGATTTTGTAAAAGAATAGGTCTGTAATTTTACTTTGTTGCTTAACTAATGTAAATGCTGAGCAAAAAACTACCTTTTACTACGCAGCACCACTTCTAATATTAGAAATTACTTGAAGTACATTTTCTATTTTTTTGTAATGAAGTTAATGAAAGCAGATTTCTTGTTATCACGTAGAGTTATGTAAAACTGACCTCACTTTGAGGAAGAATAGGGATCATAAAATGTCTTTATTCCCAAGTATTAAGATATTTTTAACAGAATATACTATGTGAGATTTTTCAGTTGCCTATAAAGGCAAAATCTCAAGTAAATGGAATTAGCATAACATTGTTTAAAATAAAGATTATTAATTGAATAATGTGTAATTATGAGTATTAAGGGAATTGTTATAATCAATCCAGTGCGTTTTGTGCTCTGTAGTTTTTTTTAGGACAAAGGCCTTTTGCGCAATTAAATTTTTGCGTCAGTTAAGTATTTCATAGCAGTTCCTAAAAAAGATGACAATTAAACTGTTTTAAGAAGTAGTTCTTCTATTAAATTATTAGTGTAATAATTTGGTATTAAAACTGTTTACCTAAAGGACCCTCAATAAGTTGGTTTTCTTTCATTCAGTTATTTTTAAGCATTAGCCAACAGAACAAACCAGCTAACTGTCAGATGCGTAAGATGAGGTTAGTCAATGAGTTCTTTAACAAAGCCTAGGCATTACCATTAGTAACAATTTTCAAATTGTAACAGGTATTTATTATTTGAAGTCATGATTTTTAAGTATTTATTCATTATGTCTGCTGTGACTAAAATAAGCATTTGTTAATAAAGTTTTGTACACATCAGCTTTCTCCTTTATGTTGTTTTATTCAGTGTAATTTACACTTTTCTTTCAAATTATAACCTTTAGAAGACATTTAGCATTTAATACTTTGTACAAAAACACATGCAAAATCAGATAGATACGGGCAGAGTTTTCCCCCTCCTGGTTTGGCGGAGCAATGGGGAGAAAGGTGGGAAATAATGGAAAGAATTAAAACACCAAAATCATTGTCAAGAAAAATATTCCATTCAAGTCTTCAGTGGTGACTTCAGAATCTGCAAATTGAATGGGGACTTCGTCATTTCCATGCACTTGCATCTCATTAAAGCCCCAATAAACCTGCTTTATGCATCACTCCCAATTATCCTTGCCTTCTCCAAGAAACTATAGATGGTGCTAATTTCCATCAGAGTGGGTACCAGGCAGCTGCAACTCACCAAATGCTTGTTCCAGCAAGAATTCAACTACTTCTTCATAACAACATCTTGGAATGCTCCATGGCCACCATCCTCCTCAACCCTTCATTTATGCAAATCAAGATTGGCAAGCCACCAGCCTCTGGCTGCTCTCAGTCTTACACAAACACCATGTTACTTTGAGTTCAGGGACACCTAGGACTTGCAAGCTTTATCTAAGACTCATGCAGAGATACATACACTTCACATTCATCTGTACAGGATGGATCTTATGGCTGTTCACTTGCTTGCTCATTCACTCTATGTTTAATTGGATAATGCCAGCCTCTGTAAAGTTTACATTGCTTTCTTAGCACACACTCACTGACTTTGGCACTGTCTATGGGCTTTTGTGTGTCTCATATTGTTTTTTAGCACACAACGTATTTAGAGATCAGTTCCACGCGGCCAGCTTTTATAGTTTGCAGTGTTTTTTTTAGCACAGAATGTGACACAAGCAGCTTGTCACAGAGGGGAGAGCAACAGTCAAAAGGGTAGACATGTTGCTGAGTAGCACAGTGCATCAACTCCATACCTGCAGCTTGTACCAGCAGTTTATGGAGCAAATACACTACATGTGCTTCAACCAAATGGCCAGGTACAAAGCTCAAGATGCAGTGGTCCCTAATGGGGTGAAGGGAGACGACATTCAATCAAAGGATACCAATTTGTGTCTTGGAGATAGCCACAGTCTGTCAGGCACTCCGTCCTACCAGGATCCAGGAATCCATGTCTGGCCAGTACTGAGGGTCAAGTGTGACCATTCTGAGGATTGTTGGTAGGTCAGTCAAGTAGGTATTGAGACATTAGTCCAGGGGCTGGGTCATGGAAACTGGGGCTGTCCAGCCCAGTCAGTCTTGGGTGTTTGGTCAATTATAGTCAGGGGGTATTTTGTGAAGTCCTAGGGAAAGCAGACAATTCAAATCTGGGAAAAGGCTTCATTTCACTGGGTTGCTCTGGGAATGGTGATCAACAGGGGCCAGTTGGAGACCATAGGGTGGGACGTCATAGTGAATAGGAAGGCATTGGGAGTGGGGGTTTCATACAGGTCACAATAGCTCTGCCTGTATAGGAGGGTTGGGGCCAACAAGTAATTTCCAAAGTTGTATGCTATTGGGAGTAAAGTGGCACAGTAATAGTTATAGAATCACCACTGTGTGGATGTAGGCCATTTGGCCTATCAAGTCCACCCCAACCCCCTGAAGAGTGACCCTCCCCGTCCCTGTAACCCTGCATTTCCCATGGCTAATACACCTAGCCAGCACATCACTGGACACTATGGACAATTTAGCATGGCCAATCCACCTAACCTGGACATCTTTGGACTGTGGGAGGAAACCAGCACAGACAGTGGGAAGAATGTGCAAACTCTACACAGACAGATGCCCAAGACTGGAATCAAACCCAGGTCCCTGGTGCTATAAGGCAGCATTGCTAACTGCTTTGCCACCGTGCTTCCTCTTAATTCATTGCCCATCTCTAATTCCCCAGGGTGGGGTTAAGAATCAACCACATTGCTGTCATTCTGGAGTCACATGTAGGCCAGACCAGGTAAGGAGTGACAGTTTCCTTCCCTAAAAGGGGTTAGTGAATCAGATGGGTTTTCCCCCCAACAATCAACAATGGTTATCATTAGACTCCTCATGCCAGATTTTCCACCACCTGCCATGGCAGGTTTTGAACTGGGGTCCCCAGAACATTACATAGGTCTCTGGTGTTAACAGTTCAGCAATAATACCACTAGGCCATCACGTCCCCTTTATGTTTAAAGGGTCTACATATTATGTGTCCTTCTGACACATAGAGAAAAGGAAGCAGTCAGTGGGATATTGCATGGCGCTAAAGGTAGTTCACTCTGAAGGCCTCCAACAGGATATCATATTCAACAGTTGCACAATGAAATCTCATGATAACTAGCAAGTAAAGAAGAACCTGGACTAATCTCCTTCTGGATTTTTCCTTCATTGGTAACACTTCAATGTTTCAGAATGCACTTTGACTGAACGTATAAATACTTAAGCACCCCCCAGGTCAGCATTGAACCCATTGACGAGCCTTAAATGGTAGTGCAATAGCTGATGTATATGCTGAACCTTTCCCCCCAGAGACCTGCGGAGTTGACACTGACTCCATAAGTCCTATTCACATGCACAGTTTACGTTTGTAATGTTGTTTGCAGGCCATGCCCGAGCACATTGCTTTTAACCCATGTGTTGTCCATATTTAGGGTGGTCTTCACTCTTACGGAGCGCAGAAGAGCTTCTTCCTCTCCTGCTGGTCATCCCACTTCACCCAGGATGCAGTGCTGACTGGGTCTGTGCTTTGGCTGGCTGAGTGTGGTGTCGTGGCCTCCTGTAGCAGTTAGCTGGCTAGCACTGGTGCCTCACACTACCAGAGACCCAGATTCAATTCCACCTTAGGTGACTGTCTGTATGGAGTTTGCACTTTCTCCCTATGTCTGCGTGGGGTATCCTCTGGGTGCTCTGCTTTCCTCCCACAGTCCAAAGACTGTCTATGCTAAATTGCCCATAGTGTCCAGGGGATGTGCAGGCTAGGTGGGTTAGTCATCACAAATGTGGATTATTGTGATAGGGTGGGCCTGGGTGGGTTGATGCAGCCTCAAATAGCCTCTTTCTGCATTGTAGGGATTCTATGATACCCAGAAGCAGTGTATAAAGTGCAATGCATTGGCTGCAGTCTTCAATGTCATGGTTCAAGGATCCCTGACATTTGAGGCTATTATTTAATCAATGATGTTGCTGGGACTGGATGGTTTGAGCTATAGGAAGAGGTTGAATAGACTGGGTATTTTTTTCTCTGTTACGTTGAAGTCTGAGGGGTGACCTTATAGATATTTATAAAATCATGAGAGGCATGAATAGGGTGAATAGCCAAGGTCTTTTTCCTAAGGTGGGGGAGTCCAAAACTGGAGGGCATAGGTTTAAGGCAGAGAGGGAAAGATTTAAAAGGACCTGAGGGGCAACATTTTCACACAGAGCGTGGTGCGTGTATGGAATGAGCTACCAGAGAAGGTGGTGGAGGCTGATACCATTACAACATTTAAAAGGCATCTGGATGGGTATATAAATGGGAAGGGTTTAGACGGATTTAGGCCAAATGCTGGCACATGGGACTAAGTCAGATTAGGATGCCTGGTCAACATGGATGAGTTGGACCGAAGGGCCTGTTTCCATGCTCTATGACTCTAAGGGATCATTTCACTCTGGAATCTGACTTGTCCAGTATTCTCATCAGCTGGGATCACAACAGAAGCATGTGCAGTGGCAGATTTAGAGTGAGTGGTGGCCCTGTGAGTGTGAGGTAGCAGAGAAAAGATGGTGGTCTTCACTCACAGAGCGCAGAAGACCTTTTTCCTGTCCTGCTGGTCATCCCACTTCACCCAGGACACAGTGCTGACTGGGTCTGTACTTTGGCTGGCTGAGTGTGGTGTCGTGGCCTCCTGTAGCAGTTAGCTGGAAAAAGGACAGATTTCCTCTCCACTACCCATCCACCAGTGCCTTCAGGTCACTGTTTGCAAAACTGAGAGTGAGCTTTGCTTTGTTTTGGGCCTCAACGGTGTGAGGGACAGTTCTTGGCTTGCAGGTCTGTTTTAAATAAGACACCAGTGATGTCAACCCTGGAAGATCCTGGCAGTGTCACTTACCATGGAGATATTTCACTCAGAACTATAACGTTTTGCCACCAACTAACCTCAGAGAACCTTGCTCTTAAAGATTTCTCATTCAGAAACTTCTGAATTTTTCAACAATTAGTATCAGCCAGGTTTTCTACAATGGATGGTAGAGCAGATCTTCACCATCTTCCTCATTTTACGGAAAAATACCAGACCTTTTCTAAATTGCCATGCAAAACAATGAAAGTGGTTAAAGCAGTTTCCATTCCTTTGCCTGTGAATCTGAAATGAATTATGAGTTTATGAACAAGGATAAGAATCGATCACTCAGCTCTTCAAGCCTGCTCTGTCTTTTAATAAGATTGTGGCTGATCTGATTTTAACCTCAAACCTACATTCCTGCATACCCCGATAATCTTTCATTCCGTTGGTAATCAAGAATCAATCTGCCTCGACCTTTAAAATATTTAAAGATTCTGCATCCACTGACTTTTGAGGAAGGGAATTCCAAAGACTCACAACCCTCTGGGAGAAAAACAATTCCTCAGTAATTGCAGATAATGCAGTAAAATGTTCCAGACAATTCTAATGTACTTTACGACTGCTTCAAATAATTCAGCTTGAGCTTCCTCCTGATAGAAAAACTATAAAGTGCAACTATAAATAGTTTGAGAAGACCTCATTTATATATATTATTCCTAACTCTAAAACTACTTTTAAACAGAGAGAAAAATCACTTTCAAAACATTCGTGTATGAGTAAAATTAGCTAGCTATCTGTATGGTTAGCCATGACTCAAAAGGAAGTATTCTCACCTCTGAGTAAGTGGATTGAGTTCAAATCTCATTTAATCTAGATCGAGACTGTCAACTCAAAGCAGCACTTTTCTTCTGTTAATCAATGAAATTGATTGATTATTTAAATAAAAACACCAATAAGGCAAATTGATTATCACTAATTCCATGCGTTTTCAATGCTAATATTTTTTAAATGCAGAAGGGAGAAATTGGAGGAACACCACCTTCAGGGCAACTAAAGACAAGGAATAAATGGCAACTTTGTCAGGATGCCCACGTACCAAGAATAATTCAGTGTCAAATAAAAATTTTTATAAGAACACTTGGCCAACGGTTATACCCAAATGAAGTGGACGAAAGGAGATCAAGACACACCATAGAGGCAAGCTGATAGTGTTAAGAGATAGATCAGCCATATCATACTAAATGGAGGAGTTGAATGGTCTATGTTTAGGCCAGTTGAGACAATACTTAGTCCTTTTAAACCTATGGTGACTTTTATTTAGTAAACACAGACATGTGGAACAATTGTTTGCCTATTACAGTACCCACTTGATTTTCTTCCAGTTTACTGTCCAAGCAATAAAACCAAAAATCTACTCTAAAATTTCATAAAATGAAAGGTAAAGTATATTACTTCCCAACTCTAGATGATGCAAAGGATAAGATGAAACAGAAGTTCTATAGCATCACCTCATGGTGAGACGAGGAACCGTTATGAGTAAAGAAATTGGAATTGTCTTTATGAGAGATAATAGGAACTGCCGATGCTGGAGTCTGAGATAACAAGGTGTGGAGCTGAATGAACACAGCAGGCCAGGCAGCATCAGAGGAGCAGGAAAGCTGACGTTTCAGGCCTGGACCCTTCTTCAGAAATGGGGGAGGGGAAGGGGACTCTGAAGTAAATAGAGAGAGGGGGAGGCGATGATGGAAGGTGGATAGAGGAGCAGATAGGTGGAGAGAAGACGGACAGGTCAAGGAGGCGGGGATGGAGCCAGTAAAGGTGAGTGTAGGTAGGGAGTTGCAATGGGGGTTGGTCATTTGGGAGGGAGGGGCAGGTAGGTGGGAGGGAAGACGGATAGGTCAAGGAGACGGGGATGAGGCTAGTAGGTAGGAAGTGGGGATGGGGGTTGGTCAGTGAGGTGGGAGAAGC